AACTCAGCTTGTCACCAACCTGTTTGCTGGGTTCCTGAATTCATCTCTTAGCTTCCAGTTGTTTTGAAAAGGACTTCCTGGTCCCCAGAATAAAATCATTTTCAGATTGTACTTCATACCCTCTGTCAAAAAGGCCCTGGGTACCAATGAAAACAGTGGGTGAGGAAAACAAGTCATGTCATGTCAATAAAAAACATAAAGGCAGTCTGAAGAACCTATTTATGAATTATTTTGTAAAGGCTGCACATTACTCACCTTTCCCCAACAAATGGAAAGTTGTATGTACAAGAAATAACGGACTTGTTTTGCATTGCTAGCAGGTAGTTTTTCCATCTCAGAATTCGGTGATGGATATCTAATAAAATAATATTAAAGTGAGGCACAATATCTTACTGCATACCATTTAACTCACCAAAAAATTCATATTTGAGATCCAATTGGACAAAAAAATGTCTTTTTTCTAACAAAAAGAAAGGCTGCTTTATCTAATGATTTACTAGCAGTGCTTGATCTACTGTTTCTTTTACAAAGGAGAATCTGTCCCAGTTAGAAATTTTCTGGAGGGCATTTATCTCTTTGCTTTTTCTTTTTCTTTTTTTTTGAGGGGGGGGGGAGAAAGGGAGGGCAAAAGAGCCCGAAGACAAACATGAAGGAGACATCTTCCACTGTTGAAAGAACACTTGCAAATTAGGGTTGGGGTTCCCATTCTTCCACAGTTTTTAATGCATAAGGCTATATTATAATAAATTATAATACCTTAATTGAAATGGCAGTCTATTGTTTAAAATATTTATCCATACCATAAACTTAACATATAAAGTAAGCAAGCCAATGTCTCCTGGCATTGCTCTAAAGAAAAGGAAACACATACCAAGTTCTGACAATTCCTCCTTATGAACACACATTTGATGAACTTTTTGCACTTCTATCAATCGTTTCTGAACATCTTGCCACTGTAGGTTTGTTAGTTCACTCTGTAAAGACATTGAGACATTTGAAAGTTTGAATTAATTTAATTCTGACATCATTCAAAACCTGATATCACTTAATTGAAAAAGGTTATAATTGAACTCACCTCTGATATTCTAAGTGCATCCTTATAAAATGCTCGGATTTCCAGAAGCTTAAAGAAATGAATTACAATTCTAGCCACACGTATCAACCAAAAAATAAAAGCAATGACCAGACAAGCCATTATTGCAGGCTCCATGCTGCAAAAGAAGACACATATTGTACTTAGATCTTGTATTATTAGATCAAAAGAAGTGGCAAATATCAATCAAAAATGAAAACAACAACAACATTTGTTAAATATTTTAAACTGTACTGGTTAAAGTTAATTTAGGTTTCAGTTTGCGATGTCTTTGTGTGAACATATAGTTAAATAGACAGAGAAATAACTGGACTTACTGTTCTATTTTGTGGAAATACAGCACATTTGAAAAGGAAGGTTGTTTGTGATTAAACAAGGTGTTATAATCCACACAAAGCACCAAGAAAGAGGTAAATAAAACCACAAACACAAATTGACTGCAAGAAACAAAAAATCCAAAGCATGACACAATCAGTACGTTCAAAGCAAAAAAGTTACTCTCTTTTACATCTCCAAGCCATAGAACAACCACAGTTTTTCAGTCATACTGCCATGTGTTACCCTCTCTAAATAAAGTTGTTACTTACTGACATTAAACCTAAGGGTCGATGAAAAGCCAAAAAAAAAAAAATTAAATGAAGAGAAGGAGATCCCTTGGAAAATGGGCTTTCTAAACAGTAAACTCAATCAAAATTTAAAGTTTTATAGCTTGGATCCACAATATCACATGAAGAAGCTTTTCAAATTGAAAAAGTTATGAAAAAGAGGTGTCTCACATTAATTCAAAGACTTCCTTCAGGAGAATACAAACAAATCCATTGTTCCTGTGATATTCATATATGTGATAAATTGTTAAGGATTTAACTAAAGTACATGCAAATTGTTTCTACTATGGTAGAGAAATTATTTTACAACAAATTTAACTTTTTATTATCAGCTCTTGTATTTTTAAGCAAAAATTACTTTAAGGGGGGTCCCTGATGGGTAAATAACAGTGTCATTACTTAGCCTCTTGCTAGTGAGCTTAATAAGGAAAGGCCAACATCCTACTCAAAGCTGATGGGCAAAACATTGTTTAGAAAATGAAGTATGAATAGAGTAGCACACAACTTGATGGCCAGTTAAGGAAACTTCAAGTCTCTAAAAGTATTTTGTTAAAATCCTATTATACCTACTAAGTCTTGCACTCTAGGAGTTGCATTTGATAAACTTGATTTACCATTTATCACATCAGATCAATTATGATTATAATCTGCACTGTTTTGTTTATTTTGGTTTTGATTTCATGAATTGGTCAGTAAATCTTAGAGATCTTGGGTTTCTCACAAAAGAAAATAAATCAGCGTTTTTTTATGGAAAGGGTGGGTCTATATAAAGTAATATAATAAGATAATTGTGACATTTAAGATAAAGGATATCCTTATGAAGAATTCATCAAGATTCTCAATGTGATTCCAACGCCCTGCAAAAATGAAACATAATGATGCCATTAATCAAAATGTTGGTAAAATATTTGTAACTTTGCAGTGAGCGGTTGTCTTAAGAATTGACTTTCTATAGATTATATAGAGAAAAAAAGATGTTACCATTATCAACAGTCTGAAAATCCAATCAATAACTATGGTGCAGTTAACAATTATTTACAAAGACCTTACCAAGATCACAACAAATTAGTATAAGTACAACAATAAAGAGATTATTAATGTTGAGCGGTTTGCCTGAAGTTCTGTTTCTATTTCTGACACCCATTCAATTATTGATTAATAACTATACTTCGATTTTCTCAAATAATATCTGTTTTAACTGTCCCAAAAATCACACATGGAAAACCTATAGTACGCTGTCAAGATACTCATGTTTGCATTCGAGTTTCTTTCATCAGAAAGTTGGTGCAGAGTATGGACAGCAGGTCCTTCCCGCCTTAAAACCAACAGTTGTGACAACTGTACATGTAAACAAACCACATTGCGCCTCGAGGTGGGCTTGGATGTACAAATACGTATATCCTGAAAAATATGCATGATTACCTTTCTCGACTTCCTCAACTCCCCGGGTGCCGATATCGAAACCTTGTGGAGGTAAGTCCTCTTCAGGATCATCTGAATTTGAATTTAATCGAGTGTACTGCGTCCGAAAACCTGCCATATTTTGTTCGTTATTTTCTTATGACAGTATGTCTTGGCGGATTCCTAAGACAAAAAACGTTACAGCGAAAGCGGAAAGTTCTTCCCTCCCTTCTGTGTTTCGAAAAATAATTCACGATACCCACTTTCCACTTGGATTTCATGTTTTTAGCCCCATTTCGGCAAAACCAATGTCCATTCGAGCTTAAATCCTTGCAACACAAAGAACATCGAAATAACACAACTACGCCATTCACATATGCGTCATCACGAACACGAAGGCTCCTTTCCTTAATTTTCCAGATTCCGCGGCTCTCTGAATTTCTGTGCGCTTAGAAAGCTTTCAAAATTAGAGGGAGTTTTCCCAGGAACTTGAACAGGGTTTAAATTTCTTCCAAGTTGTGTCGCCTTTCGTCAGCCCTTTTCCAAGTTGATTATTATTTATGTTTATGTTCTAGTGAACATGCGCAAATTTTCATGCAGACCCAAGCCTCCAGGAAGCCGCGCGGTTGTCAAGTCGCGGAAGGAAAGACTCATTTGATATCTTAGTCTTCTTTTCTGTCTTTCTTTCCTTTCATTTTTTTGTTGCCTTTGCTATGAGGGTTTCATTTTTCCTAGATGGAATTTTTACCTCTCGAACCGTCGTTTTCAGGTGGTTTCGTTCTTCCTACAAAACACACCCTGTGACAGAGTGGAACATTATATATTTTTCCAGCAAATGTGTCCTCGTGGAGACACAATCACAACCAAACGTCAGGTGTTTCATTTTGCTTTTAATTGAACTTACAAATACTTCACCTCGCTGATGTATGGCGCTTAGCTTGGGTGAAAAAATACAGGGAAGAAATTAAATAAGCAAATTCCAGAGTGCAGGGCTAATGATCAGGCTCTATTTCCGGTCAGGTCCTCCATCTTTTAATTGGCTCATAAGGGCAGGGCAGCTGGTTGTCGATTTTATATGGTTATCTACTAGCGAAATAGCTGAAATATCACCCTACAAACAGAATGTAGTTAGAATTCTAACTCTTGGGAGGTGATCGAGGTCAAAGGTGTGCGTGACGTTCATTTCAACAATTTAACTGGAACTTAATGTTTTTAAAAAAATTGGCCCGCGATTTAGCTTTAGTGGTATGGTGCTGCTGAGGTCAACCTAACTTTTATAAGTAATACGTTCTTGTTGTATAAAATAAGAGACTGGTACAGTCACAGATGGCATGCGCAGAGTTCCTGCATGAAGCAAGAGCTAAGTTCATACACAGATTCTCTGAGACTGAGGTGCAGCTGCACTTGACACGGGTATGCACAGCAATCACTCACCTTCAAAAATCACCATCTTAATAAATCTGTCTTTAGATAAGAACCTAGCTATATTGATAATCTTAAATACGGGAGGGAGGGAAAGATACCAGATTGTTTTTTTTGGTGTAAACATAGTATTTCTTTCTTCAAGGGAAGGGTTTCCCACACAAACAAAAACCCTGTTACAATCCTCGCATGACACATCTGAACCCAGTGGATGAATCTACACAACAAGCTCTCTTTTGTTTAATAACAAAGCATCTGACCTGAAACTGAGAGGGACGGGCTCGATCGAAAAATTATTTGTTCTTTCCTTTTGCCTCCCTTGATAACAAATTCTGAAATGTAAGGTTATTAGTTTATAAAGAAAACGTACTGCTGCGTCTGTGCGCTGGTCAAACAATATGTTGATCATGTAACACACTGTCGGTCATCTATATTTATTATTTTTCATTCATTCATTATTTATCATTTAGCTTTTAGAAGTATGTCGTATCTGTCATATAGTGATGTAGTCCTTTTAGGTTGTCGTAGTTCCTACACGAAACATTTAGGGTTTGATACAAACTAAATAGAGTTTATCGCGACTGCTTTAAAAGAGCCGACTTCACTACTACACTATACGCCTAGTTTCTCTTTTAATTATTGATCATATGTTTGTTACATATCTACAAATATTTTCATTCTTGGTATTGTTTTCTAGTGGACATGAAGAGCTATTTGTACATGTTAAAAATGTCATTATTCGTAATAATTTGCGGTCTGTGTTGATGACATGCAGTCATCTTGGTTACTTTACAGTCTCTTCTTACGTTTCTTGGAGATTGTCTTCGACAGCTAACTATTAATTTAAGTTTCCCTCAATTACAGGAGTATCGCTATGAAACTAAAAATGACATAGGTATTTAAACGTAACGCGTAGCATGAAAATTTAGCGGATTTAAATTTTTGCAGAACAAATGTCGGTTCGTTCTGGGACTCACTCAAAATATCTCTTGAAATATTCATCTGCCAAACATCTATCGTGTATCTCCTCGTTAGATATCCCGACCAGGCAGAAAATCTGCGTGTACATGTATTTTTTCCTTGTCTCACGAATTTTTTCCCAGCCGTTGTTCTAGTGACCTTACGCACCAAATTTTATTCCTAAGAAACAAAGTGGCGATCCACAGGAAAAACTCCCGGAAAACGTCCATGCTATACGTTGGGCTGGTCCTCTATGAATTCATACAGTTACAGTTGGTCCGTAAGTTCCAACAGTGGTTGAGTGAAACTGTCCGTATCAGTAAAACTACTGCGGAGGAGAGTTTTCAGAAAAGGCTCCTCGGTGTGAATGCAGAAGTCGTTGAGTCCTTCCAGGTTGGAGCTGTCTGACCATATGTCTACAAGGAAAAGAAAATGAAAAGAAACACGTAAGTGGCAGAGTTTTTTTTTTGAGTTCGCGTTATTAACGATTTGTTGAGTTTCAATTTGGTGCAATAGAAGCCTATCAGACCAGAGCAGTACTTGACCAGTGAGTGGTCTTACATTTTGCTTGTTTTGCATATACACTTCCGGTCCTTTCACTTTCCGGTCAGATTCTCTCGGTTTTTAACCAGAAATGTGAAGCAGGCTTCAAGTGTTTGTGTAAGAGAAGAAATCCTTCATTGGTCATAGTTAAAGCAATTATTTTTAAGACTCGATTAAGGGATTGAGGGATAATCCCTGACGAAAACAAAATGAAAAGTTTATCCACACACCAGGGTGTTTCCATTTCCTGTTTTAGTGAGATTATTAAGGATTTATAAGATACACTGAGTCTTAAATATATACAAAGTTGTGTCATTATTCATATCAACCTGGAACTGCAGACCAAGGAGAGGTCTGTTGAATCGGTTGATGTACCTTTCGACGGTTTTGTGAAAAACAATCTAGATATATACTACAATTGTCTTAAGATTTTTGGAAATTTTACCCCCCACGCTGGAATTAAAGTTCTAACCTAACACAAGAGGGATATACAAGGACTTTATCTGCATTTTTTTTAATTGTAGTATGAGGGAGGTGATTGTGCTGTGCACAAGTGTCTGGGGATGTGAAGCTGTTTTAGCATAAGCATTGTTATCGCTTTAACATCAACGGGGATCACATGTAATTTAGGACCTTCCTCCTTTAGTTGCACTCTTGACGTCAATATGCCACCCTTATAAGGAAGCTTGTTATAACTTGAGACTGTCCACTTTTTCAAATTTATATAAGTTTGGAAAGACGATGTGCAAATGATCACAAGAGGAGTACTGCCGAGATATGCTGAAAGTATAGCTGTGGACAAGTGCCAATATTACCTGTAGGGATCAGTAGATAACGGTAAGAAGGTCGACGCCCATTATCAGGGCTCTGTCATTTGTCTGCGCCATTATGTGTTTAAAAAGTACAATCTTTCGTATGCGACGTTTTCATTACGGCACCGTCTACTTAACTTAAACAAAAAAACGACAAGGCTTTAGAACCAAATAAATTATCGTAGGTAGATTACTACCTTTGGCATCCTCGACATTTAATGTTAATTTTAACATCCAGTTGATTATATTAGTTATAAGTGCATTTTCTCTGGCTAAAAACGCTGTGAGCCATTATCCTTGAAGTCAGATATGGTTAAATTCTCTAAAGTTATCTCATAAAGGCCAGTAAAAGTAGGTAACGTAATAACGAGAGCGCATAATCCTAAGATATGGCACACACACTTCTTATTGCATGTGAACTCGAGTCGTGATGGCATTGTATGTCTATTTTTGGATAATGTTTCATTAGCATAATGAATCTGCACCAAATGATAAGCAGAGCAGGCTTTCAAAATAGGATAGGACATTTTTATTTTTGAATATTTTCGACACCTCTGTCGAGCCAGGAGCCAAGCGGATTGTCAATCGGTTACCAACAGATAAGCAAGCCAGGGTTGTGGTCGCGCCCTCATCTCCGGGGTGACCAATTCTGACAACATGCGAAAATCGAATGACTCGTTTAAGATCTGTCTCAGATGGATCGAGTGGCTTGTTGTGATCAAACTGGATCATAAACAATACCATATCATTTCTGATCCATTTTTTTCAATGTGTTTCAGAAAGACTACTGACGCTTCTAAAAAGATTTGCGAGTGATTTTTGAGAAGAGGAGTTAATTGCCTTTGGTGATTTTAAAACTGTCACACTTGGTAATATCGAAAGTCATTATTGACAAAGCATTTAACAAGAAAGATCTTATCAATGACTTTAACCTTAACTTTAAGAACACACTGGCCCAAACTGATAGACGACAACCATTATTTGTAACCCAAACTAAGATAAGAAGGAATCTTAGCCTAAAACGTGGTGTCTTAACCGCATTTTTCTTCTCCTTAAGATCATTAGAGGAGGAAAGTAACACCGGATATGAAATATGTCCCTTGCCTTATTTCTCTCTGTTTGCCATTCATGTTTAGTCTAGCATAAATCATTTTTTTATTGGATTTTTTGGTGTTCACATCAAATCGACATTGGAACGGTTGGGGATCGATAAAGCGTAATTAAGTTGGTATCTGAGAAGTAGATCATAAAAGAATTTTAATAAAATTCCCTCCAGTTTTTTCACGGAATTTAGAAATATCAAATGGTTTATTCATATGTGCCCTTTATGAATGATAGAGTTAATTTAGTAAAATGGTTGGGCTGTCAAACAATTGGGCTTACTTTTCACAGTAATTTCTTATTGCAAATAATCTTTGGAGATAACTCATTTATCTGAGCTTTAAGATACCTATTTTAAACTATGAAGAAATTATGGAAAGTGCGAGCAAAACTATTTTCTAAAATAGCAGAAATATTTCAAAACTTCGGCAGAAAACATGGGTAACAGGCCCTCGAATTCTCTAGAATAAAGTAAGCTGACGGATTAGGTTCATTTTCCAACCTGTGAGATAATTAAATAATGCTAGCCAACACAACAGTGAACTTTATTTCCCGACCAATCTTTTTCTAAGTAATTGCCATAAAGCCGAGCGCTTTCTCTAACGGAATAACGTAAACACACAAACGTCATATCAGTTGTCTGACATGTTTAAATGGTCGGCGCTTTTGATGTATTTGGAGAGGAAATAAACCTCAGCTGGTTGATAAACATGGAAACAGGTCACACATTAAATATACGGAGGCAATTTGTATCGAGCCTATCCTTTGCGAATTACTTCAATCCTCATAAACTTCGATACGATTTCAAATATCTTTCAGAATTGAACGGTGGGAGTTTTTAGATATAACCTCCGTCAGAAGTGTCAGCTATGTGCGGGTGAGAAGTACGCTATAATTAGCTTCAAGGCCCATGTATTTATGGTACTTCATAGCTCTTTCAGTCCTTTTTTTTTCTCTTTCAAAAAATCCTAAGACCTGTCTGGAGTAACATGGCCTACAACAAACAATCGAAGACCGCAGGGATACATTGTCCGAAATAGGATCCCTCTCTTGGCTGTAGAGATTATACGACACGGTTTCTTGGATGGACTCGGTGAATTTCGCAGAAAAGAATGTACTAAAGAATTTTTCATAAAAAGGTGCTCTGTTGACTTCAGTGTAAGAATTTGATATTTGAAATAAAAGTGCTTCCTTTCCATATAAGGTCTTGGGTCAAAAGCGGGAAATAGGAATGCAATAGCCAGGTTTAGAGGTAAATCGATCCTGCCTTGTTGAAAAGTCAATGAAAGGCAAGATTTCTGCGTTGTTGTCTTTTTAAACAGCGTGATTGATTTTACGCGGCACCTTGGAAACATGCAGGGAAACAGTTGAAAATTTAACTCGCTGGTATTTAAGCCTCAAAAGAAATAAGGTACACAAGGCTATGATTAACAGTTTGCTGAAATTCTATAATAACAATAGGCCAGGCATTTTCACTCTTAGAGCTGTAAAAGATAGCGACTCGGCTCTTGCGCTGAGCTGATAAGAATGCAAAAAAATAAACAAACGCAAAGTAACTTACCTTGTCCTTGAAGAAAGCAATCGTCTTCGAGCTCGTGAACGTTGATCGAAAAATCTTCTCCTAGAAAATCATACAACTGCGGCTGGACAGCAAATTTTGGTTCCGAGTTTATCCTTTGATCCTGATCTAGTAACTTACTCAGGTGGTCTATCCACTTCGTCGCCACTCTTAAGATGTCAATCTTTGAAATATCCACAGAGTGAGCCAAAGGAAGTGCGTTTTTCAAGTCGATGAATGCTTGATTTACACCTTGAATTCTTCGGCGTTCTCGTTCATTCGCAGCGCGCCGCTGCCGGCTGACTCCTGTAAGCATGCGCTTTCTTCGCCTCTTCAGCTTGCGCCTACCTTGTTGAGCGATGGGGCTGCTGACATTCTCTAAGTCCCCATCCCCGCTGATTGAAGAAGGGGTCGGGGAGTTTTCTTCTGGGCAAGAAAAAGGCTCAACAGTATCATCCTCACAAGTCCATGAAGCTTGGGGTTTTCTATAAGACATGTTCGGCGAAGTGCGTGGCGCGTTTCTCGTGTGATCTCTTTGGATAATGACTAGCTCAAAATGTTTACAGCTGATGGTCTAGCCCGTGAAAGGCGACACCACAATCAAAGACTGTAGGTGTAGTCGATGAAGAGAACATCTAAGGTCGAGCTTCTATCGATGTTATGGTATTGGTGTCGATTGCAGTAGACTGATAAACCTTTTAAAAGCCATTAGGTATAGTTTGATTGGCAGATTGGACCAGACATCCTTGATGACTCTGTCCAAGCCCTCTTTGGAGTTCCAAGCATTTTAAGAGCGACATTCTCTCGTCCGAGTAAATTTTTCAGGGGCATTTTTTTGTCGTTACTGTCATTGATCAGTTGCAAATCGCCACAAGGATCCTGCGTGGGTGCGAGATGAACCGCGGGTTGATTGTGTCGTCGCGATTATAAGAACAAAGGCGGTATCCTACTGGAGAATCAAAACCGATCGTGAATTGTTCTACCCTAATTGAGCCATTTATTAATGGCAACTAATTAAAATACGTTTATGCTAACGGTACTTTAGAAGTCAATAGGTTACGATCAATGTTGTGTACCACTGGATTAAGTCAAACATATCGTTTTGGATATCAGAGTTATTTCATGACGCACAGTCAATAATTCGAAAAATTTTTAGGTTGGGGTGGGTAACGTTTCGTTTTCATTCTCCTGAAGATTCGATTGAACTGGCATCCAATCCTGGAATTCACTCATAGTTCCGGTATTTTCTTCGGAATTCTTTTCTAAACAAGTTTGAATGAGCTCGTACGTCAAAGTATTGATAAAACATAGTAGTTTTCAATTGAACAACAATCAAAGCAAATTGATTAGGTGTCAGTTAGTGAGTTATACACACAATTGAAGTAAAAACAGTTTATCCTTCCAATTAATGTTAACGAGGTGTTGTTGCTTTTATACCAAAAAGGTAAGTCAGGTTCCTGCGTCGACAGTTGATAAAATATGATTCGAAGAAAACACTAGCTGATGCTCTGTTGATGATTACAGTGTTAGAATTAAGAAAAAAATACAAAAAGAGAGCGAGAAAAATTTGAAGGACTCAGTTCTTTGATGGGTAAGGCGCAGCAGGAGAAAAAAAAGGTAGATTCGCTACGAGATCGGAAAATATTTGGAGAAAATTCCACCGCTGAAATACCATTACCAAAAAGATGCTTGGAAGCATTGTTGGAATTAATCTGATGGGCAAGGAATGAAATTATTCCCATCTCATGAGATGAAAACATATTAGATAAAAATTTTTCTTCGACTTACACGAAAATGTCAGTCAAATATCTAAAAAAATCAGATGCCGGCCAAATACTATTGAACGGTATGGAGCCTAAATTATCACTTGAGACGTGTAGGGAGCTAGACGGATGTAATAACATAATATGTTTTCATAGATGAAACATATTAGACAATAATTTTTATTCGACTTGCATGAAAACGTCAGTCAAATATCTACAAAAATCAGATGCCCGCCATATACCATTGAACGGCATGGAGCCTGAATTATCACTTGAGGCGTGTAGGGAGCTAGACGGATGTATGTGTGAAATTAAAATTTTTTCCAGTATTGCATTGACATTTTGCTTACTGACTTCCAGTTCCGTGGCTCATTAAAAAGTAGATGATTTTATAACCAATACAAATATTGATGTTAAGGCGATGTAAGAAACCGATCTCTAACAGGTTTAGGACATGACAGGAGGTGTAGGGATCTTTATCAAGTGTGTATCTTTTACTGGAGAGCATCACACTCAAAAATAATTACTTTAATTTTTGCAAACAGAAGACACACTTCATCGAAGTGGCTCCTTTCATAACACTTACTGATTGTCTGTGGTTGATCAAATCTCAAGCACTATAATCTGCACCAATGGTAAAATGATATTTTTGAGCCTTCTGCACGTTGCTTGTGAAATAAGCCACATATTAACCTCATGAAGGGGTCAGTCAGCTACTCATCTTGCCGGGCGACAAAGCTCAACGTGCATTAAACATCATGAAGTCTGTGATTTATGCCGCCGGATTACTCAGTTATGCCGCAGTAAGTAACTCCCATGGAGGCAACACTGGGCAGTTATCAGGAATTGTCAAAAAGGACTGGATTTTAATTAATTTTACACGTTTCCACTGTTGTGTTGTGGTTTACAGTTGTTGAGATCACCGGTGTCTCACTTTGATATTGAGAATCAATCAAATATGAGCTCCGAAACTAATTAAGAAATAACCTCTGGCGACTCACACAAGGATAAACTGCGAGATTCATAGACATTCATGTAATCATTATTCATATTTGGATATTTTCTCAGTATTTGAACACTTTGTTTTACTTTATAGCACAAGTGCCGACAGATAATAAGTAGGATTCGTCTCGAATGAAGTACGCCATTTTCCTCTACCGGTTTCTTTCATAGTGTCCTAACACTGTGCATTGTACGTGTGATGAAGAAAAAAAAAGGTTATAAACGTGAGCGGTTTGAAAAGTATAACCATGCGCCTAAACGAAAGTCACAGAACTAGGTTGGATGAATCTTCATCATTTTTCCACAATTTTCCGAAGCAGTTTTTTGGCTCGGGTAAGAAGCATTACTCGAAGGGTCAACTTTCTTTTCTTTTCATTTTAGTGTTGTGCCAACATTGGTGCTCGGTTCGGTTACGTAGAGAATAAGTACTATAAACTGGATGAACTGTTCTTCGGTTCCAGTTAATAGGAGACCACAGCGATAAAGGTCCTCTGGTAATCTAAAAACCTAATCCTAATTAGGGATGAATTAAAAAAAGTCTGAAGGAAATTTGCTTGCAAATCATAATAGACAAAAACGACCTTCGTGATTGTGCCTCTATTCAACGGAAACTGCTGACACCTATGCTGCTTTTTGTGCCTTCTGTGACCAAAAGCCTGTTTTAAGCGCCTGCAGGAGGCTTCTTTATGGGTTTTTGACATTCTAGAAAAAGCACAGTTTTAAAATTTTTTCCATTTCAGCTCATTAAATTTTATACAAAGTAGGTGGGACATGCAATAGAACCAGATGGCATGTTGAAACTCAAACTTCTGTAAAGTGAGCTACACTTCTTGTATTCCTGAGGCTCAAATGACGTATACAGTTAACAGAAGGAATAGTTATGCTCTCATCAGTTACGCAATCTACTTCCGTGCGTGTACGCAGAATATAAATCTCACTTGTTATTGGCATGCACCCGCCGGTCTGAGTGATTTGTTTCTTGTTTAAAATTGAAGTCATTTTCTTTGTCATTAAATCCTGAATAAGGGAACTTCTTTTATGAAAAGGCGTTAACTTCCCCGAACCCTTTCGAAATTAGTGGAAACTTTCCTTTCATTTCATTACGCTTCAAACAAGGGATAAACACTCAACCTATATTGAAGTTGACCTTGGAATAATCGAGGAAGAACTTTCTGGTGAAAAAATGACAAAAGTATGCCAAGAATGAATCAACGCTTGTTCACAATCAACGTCTGTCATTTCCATGACCTTACAGTGACGTGTGGAAGAATGCTAAAATGGTCTCACCAATCAACTGAAATTTTTGTCCTGCCCGAGGCTCTTTTGTTTAGTGATAGATGTTATCACTGATATGATCATACTATGCACAAAATCCATTCTAACCGAGTATTGTGAAAACTGCACTGGCCGGGAATCGAACCCGGGGCTCCCACGTGGCTGGCGAGAATTCTACCACTGAACCACCAGTGCTTCTAACGGGTGCTTCTAGGAGACTGACAAACCAAATCAAACAAATTGAACAGTTAACAGTGAGGTAAAGAGTAAAATGAGTGCTTTGCTAAAGTTGATGTCACCGAATACAAAACGTGTGCTCAGTCTATATTTTTGCAACCCGTAACTTTTCATGGGCAGAGGACCTAAATTCTTTTAGGTTTCTTTTCTGCAGTTGCTAAAATTACACCTCACCTGCAAGGAACATTGCCGCCATTGCTTAGGAACAGTTTATTGCAGAAAGTGACTAAAGTATGTCATGCGTGAATCAACGCTTCTTCACAATCAAGGTCTGTCATTTTTATAACCTGGCAGTGACACCGTCACTGCCACTGGAAAGGTGTGTGGAAGTTCAGATGCATGGCTGACTGTTTCATGCTTGGCATCTTGTCGTGATCAATAAACTCTGGAACAATCCCTCGTAATGAATACAGAGAAAATAAAAAGAAACTTCAACGACTGTAGGTCCAGTCTGAATTATGTCAATAAATTGTTTCTATTAGGGTTTAAAAATCGATCGCAAGGTTCATGTATAGGGTGGTTCTCTTAACAACTGCGCAAGCCAAATGAACTACACAATTGATAACTATCTTTCAGTTTATAAGCAGGACGTGATTTATAAAACGTAAGTGACCCGATAATCCCCTGACGTTCGCCTTGCATTAAAATTTGTGGCCACTATTTCTAGAATGAATCGTTTTCGCGTTTTAATTTGGTGCAAGAGAATATGTAGATGTTCTCTTGTTTTGTATTAATCGATCCACCCAAGACAGGCTTGAATTCACTTATATGGTCGGCTTGGAGAAAGGAAGAAGAAATAGGAAATTGGAGGACATGTCACAACAAATGTACCAATAATATTCCGAAAAAAAAGGAATATAGGATTTTGGAAAAACACTGCGAGGTAAAATTTGAAATAGGTGCTAATATTTCAGAAGGCCGGGCCACTTAGAAACGATCTCAATATTCAAAAGAAATCTTATCCAGCCTGAGGCTCTTTTATTTAGTGATAAACGTTATCAATGATATGATTGATTTATAAAAAAAAAAATTCGCGGTCACAGTACGTCAAGAAATTTGGACACCATTATTCTGTTTTCTCGTCCTTCGAAATAGGTAAAGTGAGCATTGTACCTTGTTCAAAGAAAAGTGCATTGGCCGGGAGTCAAACCTGGGCCTCCCGCGTGGCAGGCCAGAATTCTAGCACTGAACCACCAGTGCCTTTTACACACCAAACAGCAGGCACACAGCAGATACATTTTTATTCATAAATCCTTTGACACGAACGGTAAAGTTGTACAACGTAACTCAAGCCATATCTACATGTAATTACAAGCATACGGCTTGAAGTGCTCTCAGACCAAATCAAACGATATGGTTCTAAGGTCTCTAACAAAAAGTGGCTGCAACGCGGAAGAAAGAAAAGAAAATTAACTGACTTCAAATAATTTCGTCCTGAAGACTGATCCATGGATTTATGATAGATCTAGACAACGAAAACCTACTCCAGGCAGACAGATCTGAGACAGTTGGTAAATGTGAACTGCACTCAACTATAAGAACTGAATTATTTCATGTCCTCTTTTACCATCGCCTTTAAGTTTTCACACACACAAATCCGTTTTTAGAGATAGATCAACCGTGATTTCAACTCATAGGTCTTGCGATCTTAGCAGAAATGTTTCACTCAGCCTGTCAACGACTCCCTCAATAATTGAGCCTGCAGTAAGTCAGATATTTTTTCGTGAAGCCATACACAGATGCAATTCCTCAATGTCTTGTTGCACGCATGTTTTGAATATTTAGCGACAGGATAATTGCTATTCATCTGTGAGTTATGATAATGAATGAGCGATTTATAGAAGAAAATGAACCCCTAATGCGAACTCCGCTATCCATTACTACTGCTCTGCCTCCTCACGTAAGGTTTAGATTCCATATTATTGCGTTGCACAGCAGATTATTATTGAAATGTATGATCATTTTCCTTGCGCGTGTAATCTGTTGTTTGTTCCTTCATCTTTAGAAACCTAGACAGAAAAATTAAAGATAACAGTGTAATTAGGTTAAATTGAATTGAATCCTAAAAAAACATTGCAGAATATGAATAACAACTTTAACAGGGGCACGCGCCTGGTTGAGAATCTGCACTAAGGTACGCAAGGGTATCCTTATATTCCATTGATTCATTTTGTTTTAAAAGACAACTGAAACTGTGATGGGGTAAATTCACGACGTGTAAGACACCTCATAAACTGATCCATAAGAGAAACGATCTATTTAAATTATGATGTAAACCGAAAGTTTGGCGCAAACGGAGCTTTTTAAGGATCTTTAAATGTTACTTTTTTTACTAGTTACTAGCTAGGGGACCAAATATCCTCCCCCTCTTCTCACAGACTTAATTTTGGCACAGCTTTCGCCATATATAATTTTTAGCTCGCATGTATTGTTTGACTTGCTAATGATTCCTGAGCGGCTCAATTGATCGAGCTTCGAAGCGCGGAATCCGAAGTGCTGATGAAATCAGATTTCTTTCCTGTCCCACATGCACGAAACAAATGCTTAGCAATTTCTTCATTGGACGACCAGGATGAAAAGTTACTATATTGAAATCTTTTTATCCAAACTATTCTTGCTTCAAGCCTTAAAAGACGTTTGATTTTAGCTTATTTTATTTTCTGCACTCAACTGTATCAACAGGTTACTAAGATGAACTGATAGCGTGAGTCATGGTATAGGGCTATGTTTTGGTTACAAATTTCCTTCAGTACTCGTTGTAATTATAGTAATAATTATTTTTTCATATGTGGCACTGATGTCGAAGAGGTTGCTTTTTCAAAGCGTACCGCCTCACATCACGCGAGTAGCATGTCAGTAATTATTTTGATAAACTGATGTCTGGAGAAAGAAAACCGGAAAATAAAGCAATTAAACGCTGTGTAATGCATCACAGAACAACAAGCCCGGAACTTTCAGAAGACTATTTTCTAAAGCTCAAGATTTTCAATGAAAATTTTAGTGTTAATACTAACAACCCGTCCATGAATGACTTTTCAAACTACAGCAGGGACGTTAAACTGACAATTGTCCTGAAAAACCAACCGAAGAGATCATTCCATCTTGAAAACGCCGAAGAGATCATTCCATCTTGAAAACGTTATCTCAATGGTTCGGAATAATCTGTGATCTTCTGAACAGACGAGTTCTATTAAAAGAACATTAACAGTTATAAAATAGATCTCTTTGCGTCATTCACAGCAGTATACGGTATCCTGAATAGCCCTAGCAACCACTTCAATTGATGAAAAGCTATCAGCTCTCAGAGTAAAAAGTGCCATGCTGAGATTTTGGTGTAATGAATATCGATCCAATTGCTTCGCAACGACATTGTGCTTAAAGTTTTCTGATAGGAAAATGCTTTTGACGAACGATTATTTGATGATTGTCAAGAGAGAGGAAGGGTGGGGGAACTGAAGGGAGACATTTGTGGCTAAGGAAGAAGAGTCAAAGTCGTGGCGTTTTTGTAGCCAGTGAAGAGAGAAAACCGTGCTACTCATCAGAGATAACGGCATTCACACCAAACACTCACCAAATGAAGAAAAATCTACAAGAAAAATCAAAATGAAAGAGCGGCGCGAGATAAACTCATCCTAAGTAAACGACGAGGACACGTTTGACTACCTTGAACAAAACTATACGTTACGGTGGGTGTGGACTAAACGTGTAGAGGAAAGATTCCACAAATGTAACAAACAGTTATGGAAAAGATTTGTATGATCATAACAATCCATGATCGCTGCTATGTAATTCATTAAAAAGCATTATCATAAAGCTGTTTAATTTAAAAAAGCTAAAAACAACACACCTTATCCGATTTAAGGATTAGTGACAACATCAGAGACTTTGTTTATCAATATAGTTCTACCTTGATCCAGCAACATTTGTTATATTCATTTTATTACAAACTCTGTGTTGTACACGATTAACCTCGCGTCGATTTCATTGGACAGCAGCTTGCACACAGCCTCCCAAGGGATTTATAAGCACATACATACTTTCCTTCCCCTCAGAACACCACGTTTTAGCTCTTTAGAAAATTACATGTCGGTGTTTATTCATCACATGCAGGTAACAAACTTTGATGTCAGCTAAATCACACTTTTTCTCGTTTTGTGGTGAGACATCCCCACCAGATTATGATCTGTGCTATCATTATTGTTTTGCTGAAGTAACAAAATGAAATAATCAAGGGTCTGAATGACTGCCAATTAGCTCCATTCATTATTCCCAGATTGGCAGGTTTTTTCAACCAACTGGTTGATACTAAATATATAGTTTTCAGAAATCCCCGCACGATTTCCTTAATCAAATAATCCATTGCTGCACACAGAGTTCTTAATTGTTGAAATAATGTTTATGGGGTGTCTTCGCCTATTGGTTCGCCTATTGGTTTTGAGAACTGAATATTAACATGTTTTACCTTTAGCTCAAGCTGTGAGGATTATAGTAACTACAAGAAGGTCTTAGAGCGTTAAAAGATAATAATTGTTTTAAACTTCTTTGGATTTTTTCCTGGCTAATATTAGAATATTTGTCAGCATTGTGTAAGACACTGTCCTAATCGTTACTTAGGCCAAATGTTATTTTGAAGTACCAAGAATGGAAAACGTTGAGAATAGGTGACTACCCATGATGGCGTGACTAAAGGAAAAACACAGTCGTAAAGCCTCGTTTATAATAAGGAAAACGAGAATTAACAAATCAGTCCAAACATAGACACTGAGTCATTATCTCATCCTACGAAAAGGAAAAATTAACAAATTTGAACCGAAGGGGCTTGGAGCTTTTCAGCTCACCGGAAACATGATATGACGCTTTTGTGATTATCCCGTCTGAAACGTTCCCTATTTTGGTCAATTCAAAGACAGAGAATTATGTCTGAATAATGGCAACAATAACAAAAGTAGTTGCACATTTTTTTCACCAAAAACCTAAACTTAGTTTCGTTTGGAGACTAGACTGCGAACAAAAAAAAGGCTGAAATGTTTAAGGACCCACAGGTATTCTTTAAGCCACAGGACATAAACAAAAGATTTCCGATCGCTAATGACATGAAAAGGGCGATAAGCTATCGAAAAGCCGACGATTGCATGCCATACTGTTTAGTACATCAACATTAACCCTGCTGTACATTTTGTACAACAGAGTATAAAGACTTTGATAATCACTTACCGCCTTAAGTAGGCTCAAACAAAATGTACACACTCTTGATGCTGAAGATGGTGAAATGGCTCCATTGTGTTCAGCTGCCTTTGCTACATTCGGACACTGAGTTCCACTCACCAACATTGATCCAAGATGCGCAATGTAGCTTGAAGCCAAGCGCAATGTTTCTATTTTTGAAAGTTTTCTGTCAGAAGGTTCAGTAGGTATAAGAACTCGTAATGCATTGAATGCAGAATTGACACTGTGGGTTCTACTTCGTTCGCGAGCGTTTGCAGCTTGTCGTTGTTTACTAAGGCCCGTCAGACGAGGTCTTCTCCTTTTTCGTTTGTTGATCTTTGAAGTTGAGGTGTTCTCATCATCGGACTCACGCTTGGGCGAGGAGTCATATTCATCTGAGTCCAACGCGTCCAAGTCGCTGAGTTTTGCCCTCTGTTTCCTCTTGCGTGTTCCCTCCATTTAAAATAAAATTCAAGTCAATGTAATGAATTTAAACAAAGACTCATCCTTCTAAACCGTCTTATGGAGTTCTGGAAGTTTACAACAAAGAAGTTAGCATAGGTTTCCGCTAAGTAGTGGAAACTAAGGCAAGTCGAAATTTAAATAATCACCCATCAGGAGGGTTTGTATTTTAATACACGGCGGTCTTTTTGACGTACCACGGGAAATCGGAGCCGCTAATCGCTTAACCAATCAAAAGGCATTGATCAGTTTCATTCGAGTCTCTAAACAAGGTTGAAAGACAACATCCCAGCCTGTTGACGAGATAATTACTTTATGGACCTTAAAGGCCACTTGCAACGTTTTAAGGAATTTGCCATTAATTTTAGTCAGAACTCAACGGTTAGAAACAGTTTAGGGAAATCAGATCGATTCCAGAGATGGTGAGGTGTTGAAGACACCTTAACGGAGGACTGCAGATGAAAATCATCAAATAAGCTCACCAGTTTCAAAACAAGATCAGCTACCGACATCATGTGATATTTTCATCTTTGGCGATATATTCTGTAAACTAACTTGGCTACTATCAACGAATAATTGAAGCGAGGAGGAGTTTAAGGAATTAATAGAGAATCACAAACAAAGGGAGGACTTTAGTAATGGTGTTCAGCTTTCATTTGTTTAATTGAACTAATTAACTGAAGTGACTTAAACAACAGACGAGTTGTTAGCAGCACTTCAGACTAAAACTCAACTTGATGCGCTTTCCACTTGATATAAACTATCACCTGTGATCTTTGAAATTCACATTCACTTGACAAGAGGAGAGCAATGCTACAATATTTCATAATTTTTGTCGTTATTAAATCAAGGACTTCGGAGGATGATAGTGAAACAGATAAAAATCACGCAATTTCGTGGTATCATTGTCAAAGTAGTACGCATGCTTTTTCCTCATACCATGTTCTTTTTCGTAGACATTTCGTTTCAAGTTACATTTTTTTATATCCTTGGACTCCTGAAAACCTGTACGCCACTAAATTGATCGATGAACCAGACAAAAACAATCCATGGGCACGCAAATGAATCAAGCTTATACCATAAGTATATTCTAACATGAAATGGGAGACGTACTGGTAACTGTAATAAACGAATGACCTCTGAAATATTATTCATATCCGTTGAAAATTGAATTACTCGTTGCTAAGCCGCTTGACTCAAGTACCCACTTGAGTTTGCTATCCTAACGATCTCAAATGCTACTCGTCTGAGAACAGAACATTTAAAAGCTCTACAATGGTCATCTCGCGACACTACATCAGTTATTAGCGTGAACTACCGCAGCGTAAAGTCATGTCCTTTTTAAAGCAAGCAGCTTCGCACATTCGCCAAATCAGTCACGCTTAAATTCAGTATTTGCCGACTTATTTCAATAAACAGTGTATATATTAAATTTACATACCTTTCTGATACACGCAACGCTTTCCATTCACGTCGCAAATCACAAATCCGCGATTGGAGCTTAAGAGGACTAAGATACTGAGATGGCAACCACTGCGGCTCGGAAGATGGTCAGAAAGTCAATAGATACAAAGTATCGGCTACTTAAAATGATGAAAACCTTAAAAATGAGGAAAGATATAAAGGACTGAACGTTGGTTTGGCGGCTCACCTTGTTCACAGACGAACTCTTCAAATGCAACCGGATATGCGGCTTCCACATCAAATGACGTCATTGTAGAATAAGCCGCAGAACAAGTTAATAATCAACAGCCCCAGTGCCACCCGAGCGGAGGGACAGGCGTTTCAGCCTGGACAAGGAGCCCATCACCATGATGGACCTGATGAGCTTCTTTCGGGCCACATACAAACTTAAGCTATGTTCCTTGAATCAGTGATTTCCTTTAAGAGAGGTCAAAATCATAACCAGAAGTTCAAAACCTATTGTTAAATTTCAGAATTGCCTTGTCGTAACACAATGTAATCAGTTAGTTCCCCTACCATTTCAATTGTTCCATAAACAGTAAAATACAATACAATATTTTATTGACCTCTCTCCATGGGGGCTTTTCAAGGAAAATACAATAGAAAAACAAACTGAAAAAAATCGTTAAAAAAATCATATTGGATAGAATATTTACAGCGAAGAGAATGGGTAGACCTTTTACCGTTCCCGACATCATGTACCTACAGTTCTGTAAAACTATATTGCTGATGATAAAACTTAGATATGATATTTTTCGGTCAGTGGCTGATCCTTGTACAAGACAGACCTATATCATTCAACTCACAGACCTTTGTAACAATGGGCAGTCAATTTCATATTTCGGTTTTTATCACGTCATAGTCATGTCCACTCACAAAGATAGATCATCAACTAAAATGATTTTTTTCCTCTAAATATACTCCGATTGTTCGAGTATGTTATATTTGCCGTCTCCCTACAATATCTTCGTCGCCCATAAAACGACTTCTTCGATTATTTACTTTCGTTAAAGCCAAACCAAGCAACAGACAAGAAGCACCATACAGGTTGTCCTGCTTCCTACATTGAAGAGACTGACAGAAACCTGTGGCAACGTCATCAATCATGCAGCTGAACGTCATCAACTTACGAACCACACCATGTAATGGTTAACTTACTACTACTTCCAACGACTGGCTCAGGAGGGTGTGTCACTGACTTAGAACAGACCTCCCTCGACAGAAAGTTAACAACCCACGCTAGCACGCAAACGACTTATTCACGACATTTTCACCACAAACGAACCGAAGAAAACGACCTTCACAGACGAAGTGAAACCGGCCAATCAGAACCTACTTACGCTACTTGAGTCCCTCAGCCATGACATCATGGCAAACCCGATCAAATCAATTCACACAAACCGGATCTATAACACTCGACTGACAGCTCTCTTCCCACGACTCTGATGCTGAATTCTGTTGGGGTTATCGAAACGTCAGTAATCTCAACCTCACGATAAAACTATGTCATCAAATATTAGTCTTGGGTTGAAATCGCCTACTGTATCAAGTTGCAGTTAGCTGTTACAGTTGTAACATTTTAATAAATGCAGGTTTAGCATTCCGCCATTCCATTGTCTCTTTTTACATTGTCTCTGAAACAGGTTTTAGTTTGATTTTGTCGTATTGAACATTCTTTTTGGTTCAAATCTACTCAGACATGTTTTATTTGTTTGTTCAGCACTTTCAAATAAATCTGCGATGTTCCATCTTCGATTTCGTTCGTCGTAAACTCAGCTGGAACTCAGTTAAATGATTTCATTTTAAACAAGATACTTTGGATATTTGGTCTCTTTTGTTTCATTGTAATTTAAACAAAGTGCATAACTTCTACCGGCCACACATTTCTTCTACAAAATCATCTTGTGGATTTACTAAAACATAAGGCCGTTCTTTAGTTTTCTCACCTGCTCATTATTTTGCTCTTTTTACAAGTCATAATATTGACACTGATACACAGAGGTGCTCAAGTGCCATTTCTCATTTTGTTTGGAGTTGACGGAGGGAATCTTTTTTAATGAGAAGAAAAAAGTTAATTGCACACCCTTGCTGTTCTTTTCAACAAAATGTAAACATTAGGAACAACGAAAACAAGTTCTAGAAAAATCCATCTAACATTTTTAACGCTTAAACTAAGTGCAGGTGCTCAACTTAATCAATTACATACTCATAGCCACATGCACGAAGATTCTAATTTTTTCCCCTGCAGATAAAACTTATAAGCAGTACTTAATTTGTGCTTAAAATTAGATCGAAAAGTTGTTTATCATCTCAGCACTGCCACGCTGTGTTTTATAGCTCATTGTGTTTTTCAGAAGACGTTGATTTTGACTTACCTATTATTTCAGAAACTCGGGATAATTTTCCTAATGATTTGACGTGAGAGTTAAAAATCAAACGATAACCTAAGTATTCTTAAAATTTGTTAAAGAGAAAAGACCTTTGATGAATCTTATCACAATGAAAATCGCGTATTTTGTTTACTGTCGTATTGTTTTAAGAGTACTATCTTATTAATTAGATAACATTTTCTTTTATTTCATGATTATAATCTACCAGCTATTTGTTGGGTGTCAGTTGAACACCTTCAGTTGATAATGGAGAATTGACTGCAGAGCAGTAAATAGCTTCCGGTGGCCTTCGCATGATTCATCGAAGAGTTGACGGGCGAAAAATCACAGCTTCTACTAAGTTGATTTACCTTAATGAACATTGTTAACTTTTCGATTTTCCACCGACACAAGTCGATGGTATTTGAAGATAGAGTTCAGTTTGAAAATAACCCCTTAACAAACCTCTCACTGATGTAAAGCAGTCGCTTTTTTCTTTCCATATGAAAAGGGGATTTTAAGTGATAGGAATGTGGAATTCATGATTACATAAGCTATTTCCTTCCAAAATTCTTTATACGCCCACATAAATGATATCAATTCTTTAATTGTTTGAATATACAAATAATTTAAGTTAAATTAATTAATTTGATTGTAAAAAAATCCCACAGAAGCGGAATGTGGTCAGGCAAAAATTTTTATGTAACATTGCTCAATTTTTGCGAATGCATGTGGAGTTCCTGTTTGGACAATTTTCTAACCTTGATCATTATGTGAATTAGCTCCAGCTGAGCCTCTGAATACGACTGAGCCAAAACACAACCTGCAAGATAAAAAGACTCTAGCCAAAGTCAAATTTTTATTTTTGTGACGTGAACCGTTTTAATGAAGTAATGTTTGTTTTTCGAAACTAGGGGAGTTTTTGATACGATCTGTGTCGTAAAATGATTGAACTATGCAGAGAAAAGTAATATGGATACAGTTAATGACGAACTCTTCATATCTGCTCATGTAACACAAAGTGGAATACAATGTAATTTCACGCATCACAAAAACACGTCGCTCGGACAAAAATCCAAGGTTCCCTCAAACTCCACAGGGGACTCACTACTGACGTACGATATTCTAAAACATAGAACTGATGATACCTTTGTGCAATTACAAAAGACTCAAAAGGCATGACGGCGCGTGGCTTCACTCCTTTGGTCAAATATGTTGATATAATACGATCGTGTCAGTCGATAAACAAGTTATACACTGCCACATCCGCGAAATGGACGTCGCACCCATTGGAAAAGTTATTCCGCAGCACAAGAAGAAACCCCGGCGACGTGGACCACGTCTTACAGGCGTCAGCAAGCAGCGCCGGGTGGCGAATGCACGTGAAAGACGCCGGGTTGAAATTTTAAACATGAATATCCAGATATTACGACATATGATTCCTCTTCCGCCGCAGGAGAAGGAACCTTCTAAGACTGAAGTGATATGGTTAGCTGTAGATTACATCACAGAGCTCACCAAAATGTTGGATTCTGCTGATCAGTGGCAGGCTGAGCTTGAAATGTTCGATATTGACTCTTTGGATAGCTTAGATGACAGCCCTCTGTTTAATTTGGAAGGTTGGTGTTACCGGCTGAAAGAAATGGGAGGGAATGAGAGTTGTAGGCTGTTAGGTTTTAGGGTGTGTATGCAAATCAGTTGGAATGGCATAATCCTTCTAAGTAAGCCAGTGACTTTTTAAATTGACGTTTAAAGAACAATCCATTTTTAAAGGCCTTGTTAATGACTTTAAGGTTTTACATCGTGAACGGTAATCTTCGTCTAGTTTCACAAAATATTAAGAGAACCCCTGGCTCCAGGTTATGCTTTTTCAGGAGAAATAACTCTACCTTAGGTAATATACCGACATCAGACACCATGCATAATGTTTCCCATTTAAATAAGATCCCAATTAGTGAACTGGAGCCGAAAAAGCTTAGTTTGCGGGCGAAGGAGCTAAAGGTTGTCCAAACAGTATTTATTCCGCCTTCACCTTTATGCATTTTGTCTGACAGGATCAGTACTCTCCTATTGTGCGCCGTAAGGTGCAACTTATCAGATTGTTTTTTGGGCTGATAACAAATTGATTCTTTTCTTGTATGAAATTATGGTGTATTGAGCGTTCTCTAGTGAGGAAATATCTGCAAGAAATAGCGTGGACAAAATCAATTTTGCCGAAGTCGGCATTTTGGCTTCCCTCTGAGAGAGGCGAACCGTGTCGTGAAGTAATCACAAAGCGACATATCGTAATCATTGATCTTGCCTAGTGTTAATTAGTAGATCTTTAAAATTTCTTGTTGCGAGCAGATAAACTTAACGAAGCCACAATCTCCTAGACTGAGGCTTTTGTCGAACTCCGGTGATTCATTGTCTCCCAATGTTTATCAATTTTTATGATTGATGAGCTGACATTGAACTCTCCTTTTCTTTCAGATTGTGCGCCATTGTCTTTTTGAGTCGTACGCCTTTCCAAAATAACGATGCGTCCAAACTTGATCACTGATGGGACTGATTTTCTATTTCATAGCAAGAGTTTTAGTGAATGTTTGTGACACAGAACGTTTTATCCTCACAATGAGGAATCACTGGGTGCAAATTAATGTAATGTCAATTAATTACTTCGGTCAAGTTGTTGTAAATTTATGCATGGCATGAATTTCGAGGGCACATAGGCAATACTTTATTTACTTACTTAATAGATATTGCTGTTAGAATTACACAGTTTGACTGGTACCGATATGCTAAAAATATTGAAATATTTCTGCTTGATATTCAAGCACAAAAATCATTGATATTT